TCGCACCCCTGCCCCATTAAAGGGGCGCCGGAAACTCGGGGCCATTTCTTTTATCTCCTGACTCATGGTGCGAACAAGGGGTGGTGCTAGATTTTACGCCGCTACCACACGGCGGGAAGCCTAGTCTATTTTTTTTCGGCTTTGTCGCTCGTTTAGCACCACGTGTTGGGTGGGCCTAAGGTTTGGTGGTCGAAGCCTACGGACGCGAGCGACTCATCCCCATATGACAAAATATACCCGAACATATTGTGTACATTAAAAAATCATGCAAATTGTTAACCTACTCCTTTTTTGAAGTAGGTTAAAAATTACGCCCAACCGAAAAAATAACTCTCAATCGCAGCTAACTTTATTAAATGGAAGTAACGTAAAAAATTATTATTCTAATTTTTCTTGTTAAGCGCACTTCTTCTTTTTGCATGCCTTAAGCGCAAAGCGCACACTACTAGCGCCTAAAATCAAAAATCCAACGTTTATATATTAAAACATTATTAATATTGAACATACAAACGATGTAGAAACATATTGTCAGAAAGATATATTATGAGTGCTGAACTTAGTTTTTTTAAATCGATTAATTGCTATTTTTAGATATGTGGTTTTAGTGACTTTTGGTGTAGATTCGTCAAGTCCGCATGGAGGAGTAAACACAATAACTTTTGAAAATATCAATGTTCAACTCAATCTATTTTTCAATCTCTTCATCTGTTATGTGGGAAGCCATAGTATGTGAATGGCTGTTTAATTTTGTTTTGATTATAATTTTTTTAATAACTATTTATTTATATAACTATGTATTTTATTAATAACTTTTGAAAATATCATTCTTCAACTCAATCTATTTTTTAATCTCTTCATCTGTTATGTGGGAAACCATAGTATGTGAATGGCTGTTTAATTTTGTTTAGATTATAATTTTTTTCGGCTGAGGAATTCGAAATTTCCGGTGTTTGAGCAGCCTCGTAATACTATATTTTACTAAATACAGATACACTTTGACTCACTCCGGGCTCAGCCGATGTCGTGAGTTGGTTACCGTATCGTATGTTTACAGCGCCTGTAGAAATAGGAAATATTCTAAAATCAAATTTGAAACATAATTGACCAAGGTAAGATATTATCATTATTTATATAATCACAGATTTTCAATACAATATAATATTGTTTAGCTAAGTACGTAGGATTTATATACAAATATACTTATACGTCTTGGACTTTATGGAGTGACCTGAAGGTAAAAATACTGGTTATTACTAGATGAAAAACTTTTTGAAAGTAAAGTTATGAGAAAAAAATATAACCGATTGAGGTAAAAGACTAAAATAATGCCTGAAAACAAAATACAAATACCTAAAAATTAAGGTAATATTAAAATTGATTTATGATAGTTTTAAGATAGTAAAATAATAAAATAAATTTAGAATATCAATAACAATAAAATAGGGCCCTCGCAAATCTAACTCCACGTCCGCGCATGACCATCATTACTTTTAATTAACTTAACCAAATACCAACGGAGCTCTAGGTACCTTCAATGATGGAGAGACAATTACGTAGTACTATTATGGGGCCGCTACCCGAGGGTGAGCGTTGGGGCACGTCTAGAGCTGACGCTGGACGTGACAGCGTACGAGCCGTCAGTGGCTCTCTGCTAAGCATGCGAGAGTTGGGGAACCCGAAAATATTACAGCCGATCAACGGGAAGGGATGGGTATGGGTGATGCTTTGCAGAGTACGGATTTACCTACAAACTCTGCCGGTTCATCTTCAATGACCACAAATAATACAGAAAATGATGATAGAAGAAGAAAGTGGTCAACAGAAGAACTTCAAGAATTAATGTTTTGTTACTTTAAAGCAAGATCTATTGGACCAGGATACATAGGCAGGTTACAGAAACTTTTCACATAAAGAAACTCGAATAACCCTAAAATTCATAAGTTTAACAGAAACACTAGCAAATCAAGCACGAAAGTTCATTAAGCAAAATGTACTATCACAAGAATTACTAAACAGAATACAAAAAGAAGCAGAAGGTATCACACCTGTAGATAACCCAAATTCAAACGACATTGGAGTAAAGGATACACAACCTACACTCACACACATTATGGAACAAAATTTACAACATACGCAACACACAATTGAAGAAGCTGAAACAATAGAACAGATGACAAATAATATAGTGGTAAATGATGATCAAGATCCATTAATCTTGCATTTACTTCAAATAATAGCGGAAACTAATGAAACCAGACTTGAAGATCGAGTATTTCTACCTAAGCTAAAATCAATAGGCGTTTCTTAGAAAATCCACACACATTAAATAAGTATTTACCTAATCTTTTAATTACTTATAATAGTTTGCGCGAGATAAATAATATAATATACGCCGCGGCTAAAACTCTTATATTAAACAACAATCAAAAACCTTATACCACTAATAATATTATAAAACCAAAATGTGATCCACCATGGAAAAAAAGAATACAAACTAAAATAGATAAATTTAGAAAGGAACTAGGACAATTAATAGAAATTGTAAAGGGATTCAAAACGCGCAGGATGATGAAAATAAAGGAAAAATTATAAACCAAATACAGCATTCGGAATGATAATGATCACAATGATATAACATTAGAATTAGGCAAAAAGTTAAAGCTTAAGCTGGTAGAATAAAGAGATACGAAGACATTAACACTAGAAAAGCTCAGAATAGATTATTTAATGAAAACGAGCATAGACTGTACAGAAGTTTAGGATGCAATAACAACAAAGACATCAAAATACCGAGTAAAGAATAAGTGGAAGTATTTTGGAACTCAATTTTATCAAACCGAATGCAGTACAATTTGGATTCTAATTGGATAAAAGAAGTAGAAATGCTGTCAAGTGAAATACACAGAGAAGATACACAAGAGATAACAGAGGACCAAGTTAAATTTGCTATCAGAAAACTTTTAAATTGGAAATCACCTGGAATGGATAAAATACAAAATTATTATTTAAAATACCTAACCAGTGTTCATAAATACATAGCTTCATTATTCACTAAGATAGTTTAAGGTACAGAAATAATGGAAGAATGGTTCGTTACAGGACAAGTTATATTAATACCCAAAAATGAAAACACCGAAAACTCAAAGAACTGGAGTCCAATAGCATGTTTACCTAGTATGTACAAATTACTTACTTCCATATTAGCCAACGTATTGTATAGCCATTGCGATTAGAATAACATAATGGCTGTAGAGCAAAGGGGATGTCGCCGTGGTGCCAGGGGATGTAAAGACCATCTAATGGTTAATAAGGCCATATTGAAGGATGCACATCAAGCTCAAAAAACCTGAGTATGGCGTAGATCGACTATCAAAAAGCCTTCGACAGTGTATCTCACGAATGGCTTTTTAAAGAACTTGATGTCTATATATGTCCACTAATGAATAAGCTTTAACTTTTTGCCTAATAGTTTCTGTTATATTATTGTGATTATGATATTACTAATATATATAATAATAAAGCCAAACATGTTGGTAATTATAATATTAAGAATAGTAACATATCTTTAAGTTCCTACTCTATCAATTAGTTTTAATTTGCTAAATATTAGTTGCAAATTCACTTACTTGTGGAATGTTATACCACTATCCTATTGGTAACGAGTTTTACAGATTACGCACACTCTCTTGATTATTATTATACTCTTTATTATATAATTAAAGTTATACACAATCAAACCACATAAAATACATTCGATTTTTAGTTTAAAAGTTCAAAATACAGCGATAAGTTTTAAATAAGACAACGGAATTTTGACATATTATGTCAATTTTAGTTCCCAGAACGGCAAATTGGCACAGATATTTTGTATGGTATAGCCAGTCTAGCGTCCTTATATATATAGAGGTCAGTGTCTATAAACCACATTATAACATTATAGCCGTGGAAAAGGGGAAATCACCCACTGTTCAATGTGTGCAGTCCGGGAAGCGGCCCAGGTTCCTTGTGTTATTTCGGAGCTGTTCTATATTAAAGAAGACATTAACTTCAGAACTTCAGAACGCGATTTAGGCTTCGGTGCGACGCTTGTACTTCGGAAAACACCTCTGTCCTGGGAACCAGAAGAAACCAGAAAGAAACCCAATGGGTCATTAAAAAAAACAGTTTACAATAAATATTTATAGGGTGACAAAAGAGCACGCAGTCCACCTGATGGTAAGTGGTTGCTGCGGCCCATAGACATACATCTATCCTCGATTACAGATCAAAATGCAGATGCATTGTCACCCGTGAGGACTAAGATGGAATGCCTCATTTCCAGTAAAGAGCGTCTCCGGTTCTCTACACTCACAACACGAAACACAGCAGCATTAAGCTACTATTTTACGCTGGTATTCTGTGAGAGCGTGGCCTTCCCCGGTCGAGTTGACCCATTCGTGCTACAGTTATACTACTAATATAACTACAGCATGGCTCTACTAGCCTTTTAAATTGAGTTGATATGACTACTATTTTTGAATAATTTTAATATAGGAGTGTGAATAATTTATTAATTGCATTTCTCACAGGCTTTGTTATGAACCTGATGACATTAGATATCTCGGTGCATCAAGCTTACGCACCATCAGAGCTGGGACATAAACTTTAAGATCCAACTGATGAAAAAGCATGCCCGTTAACGTTGACTGCCGACTGCCATGTATAATATTTTGTTATTTATTTTATTATTAGATTTAATTATTAGATTTTTTGGATATTGTTCATTGAATTTAGGAAGACATGTGGAACTAATGACATAATATGTAAGCATTAAACTTAGGGAGTAACTACATTTATTCAGCTCCATTCGCGTTTCGCTAGTTAATTTAGATACACTTATACAGTTCCGCTTCTATCATCCGGTAAAACGCTTCTATCTGCAGCATAAAGCACTGGATGACTGAGAAGCGATTATATGCTCACGGTGAACTACTTTCATTTAGTATTTGATAATACTCATCATGGACAGATTCAAGTGTGATATTATTATCGTTATGCTTCTTTCAGAAGAAAAAGAAAAACTGAAACGTAATAAACGCAAACGCAAACGACAGTGGGTCGACCCTCTTTAGGGAAACAGAAATTTAGTTAGAGAATACGTGTTATTGATATAGGAACTAAAAGAAAACAATATTAAATTTAAAGAGCATTTTCGGATGAATACTTAAAATTTTAACGAAATTGAAGAGCTATTGCGACCAGGGTTACAAAAGCAATACACAAAATAGTTTCGGTTTACTCATTCTTTAGATGATTGTATGCGAAACGATTACTAATCAAATATATCAACCATTGTCGTGGAGGACAGTCCGCGTACAGCGCTGAACGCTTAAAGTGCAGAACAGCGCTGAACGCGACGGAGCAACGATGAACGCGGCGGGTCAGCGCTGTGATAAGAACAACTCACAAACCTATGTAAATGTGCTACAATGGAATGCGCAAAGCATTCGACCTAAACGTACAGAGTTAGAAGTTCTATTAAATCAAGAAAAAATACACATTGCTATTATAAGCGAAACTTGGTTAGACCCGGGTAGTAACTTTCACATTAGCCACTATAACGTCTTTAGAAGGGATCGCGCTGACGGATTTGGAGGTGTAGCTATACTGACTCACAGGTCAATTAAGGCACAAAAACATAATGCTGAACTGCTAAATTCACAAATTGAGTTCCTTCATAATACAATTTTAAATTTCAGACATATAGAAAATGTATACTCCTCATACTGCCCACCATCCGCTCATACCACTTTGACAGACTGGGACCAAATCTTCAATATTGCCAGACGAAAGACAATAATTGCAGGAGATCTTAATGGCCACCACACCAACTGGTCAACTAGAACGGACTCACGAGGTGATCAAATTTTGGATTCCATTTTAGACAACAATTTTGTTTCACTGAATGACTGCTCACATACTAGAATTAAACTGGTTAACGGCACAGTACAAAAATCTGCCCCTGACCTATCGCTAGCTTCTCTGGATATAGCTTTGAAGTTTGACTGGATAGTACTAAATGAAAACTTGGGAAGTGACCATTTAATGATTAAGATTAAAACTAATATTGGCACTTCCAATATCTACAAAAGAAAACGCAATTTTAAAAAGGCTGACTGGTTGCAGTATAAGTCACGTATAGAGAGCAAGCTTAAAGGCTTTATATTACCAGATGATCACCAGTCTGCGTACGACGCTCTCATCGATATTATTAACGAGGTAGCTGATAAGTGTATCTCGTTAATAAAAATATGTGAAAACCCTCTTCACCAACAAAAGTTCACTCCTAGACCATATTGGAATCCGGATATCTCAAAAGCTGTAGCGGAACGACGTCGGGCACTTGCTGTTTTTAGGAGAAACCCTACACCAGTAAATTTAGAAGCATTACAAAACAAAGTCAGGTTGGTACAAAAAATATTCGAAGTAGTAAAAATAGGTCATGGCAAGGTTTTTGTGACAGCATTGGCAGTGTGTCAACTTCAAGTGAAATGTGGGCTAAAATGAAGTGGCTGAAGGGGTGCAGGACAGAGAAAAGTAATATTATCCGCGAGTCCGCTGATTCCTTACTGTGTAGTTTAGCACCTGATTATGCAGATCCACCGGCTCCTGTGTTTACTAGCGAGAACGTACATCTATCTTTGCCTGTCTCGGTACATGAAATCGCAAACACAATTAAACAGTCCGATACAGCACCTGGCGCAGACGACATTTCGTACTCTACGATCAAGAACCTTCCAAACGCTGCTAAAATTGTTTTCGTATTTTTATACAACAGATTCTTGCTTTCAAGCTTTGTACCAAGACAATGGAGAAATGTAAAAATAATGCCTATACCGAAACCGAAAATTAAAAATATGTCAAATTCAGGTATTAGGCCTATAGCCCTTCTGTCTTATCCATGCAAGATTTTTCATACAATTATTACGCGCAGATTGTAATGGTATCTTGAAAAAATAATTGCTTACCAGATGAAACAGTAGGCTTTACAAGATCGCGATCTTGCTTGGACAAGACTACGTTAGTGTCACGAATACAGAGTGTTTTGGTAACGGAGACGCTACTGTAGGGTGTTTTGTTGATATCGACGGCGCATACAACAATGTCAATATTATAAGTCTTTTAGGTGCGCTAGATAATTTAGGAGTGGGCACCGTAATATGTAATTACCTCTACCGGTATTTGCACTCACGAAGGTTATTTATCGAACTAAGCAATGAAGAGTGTGTAAGCAGATTTACAGGAACCGGTATAGCACAAGATGACCCCTTATCTCCATTAATATTTAACGCAGCAACTATCAACATCTGTTAAAATCTTAATCAAGTATTTATGTCTTAATACACTGATGATTTTGTACTTTATACTAGCAGTAAAAATATAATGGATGCAGTTGGTGTTATTCAAGATGCTCTAGTTGCTTTAAACTCTATGATAGCAGATATCGGTTTAAACATCTCTCACAGAAAAACCAAAGTTTGCGTATTTACAAGAGGACACTCGAGAAACTCTAACAGTAGTAATATTACTTTAAACACCAACAACGAATGTATTGATTGAGTCGATAGTGTTAAATATTTAGGCGTGTGGCTGGAGCATGGATACCGCGTGTACCTCGGTAGAGTTTCCCCAGAATATGATGCCGTATCTTATCCAGGCAGCTGCGTGGCTGTGGTACGCAGTAAGTGCGCACTGCTCGTTAGTATCCTTACGTAGCTCACGCAAGGCAAAGCAAAAACTGCTCAACTTACTCACAACTCTTTCTACACGACTTTTCCATGAAAAAGTTGAGTCTATTGTTATCCCGAGGAATGAAAATGTGCGAACATCCTCAATATTTACCTTCGTAAGATATAGCAAGTGGAACTTCTGATCATTGATATGGACAAAAATGCATTATTTTGGTCTTTTCAAAATTTAGTAATAAGCCTAAAACCTCTAATTCATTCACAATTTTGCTAAGGCATTGGGTTATTTTTTCCTGCAAACTACTTAGATTTTTTTTGTTTACAAGTAATTATAACTGTCGCGTCATCTGCAAACAAAACGACTCTATGTGGTGCTACTGAAGGAAGTTCGTTGATATAAATAGAAAACAACAAGCATCCTAGGACACTACCCTGCGGTATAGAACCTGTTACTATTGCGGTGGACGAATTTATGTCATTTATCAGTTCAATTTCGATATTCATTTAAATGTGATACCTGCACGTACTGTTTTCTATTCGCAAGATAAGAAGAGAGCCATTCGTGCGGTTTCCCTCGTATACCTAGCGAATATAGCTTTTCTAGCAACGGTCCATGCAAAACGCGATCGTATGCTTTGGACATGTCCAAAAAATAGCTATAGCACATCTTCCTTCATTTACAGCATTCTGAATTTCTAAGATGCAGTCAAATACAGCGGACGTAGTAGAATGATCTTTACGGAAACCATGCTGATATTTATTAAAAATGCTGTATTTTTCAAAAAAATTATATAATTTACTCATTGAGCTATTATGTACTACGTACTAGAGGCGACACTGCATTCAGCTACTCTGTTCCACTCAACTGCAGTGCATGCACCGCACTTTAATCAGTCACTCGCTAGGCGCTTGTAGGGTTGTCACGTGTTGTGTTGATTTAAAAAAATCTCTTGATAAAAATATGCCGTCGTGTATACTTAGATATTGCGCAAATAATTCAAGAAATGTCAGTAATAACCAAGGTATTACTTTTCATCGGTTAATAAGATACTTAATGAATAAAAAAGTATTATAAATTAATGATAAAACAAGTTATTCCTAAGACGCCATCTTGTGTCATGTAATATAGATTATGGAATTAATTTGTTCAGATGCGACATTTCTGTGGGTACTTAAGTATAGGACGAATATATTATTATACACAATTTTTTTTTGTAGAAACATATATGAGTTATCATAATTCGGCCAATTTTTTATATTTAAATCTGCTCGTTATTCTTTTATATTAAGTCAAAGTGGAATAAATTCGTCCATTTTTAACTCTCGCGTGCCCAGCATTTATGAACGACTCTTATTCTAATTTAAATAAATATATTTGTAATTTAAATTTTATATTAATAAGTTTTGTTATGAATTGACATAGATACCTTTTAAAATATTCAAAAAATATCATTAAAAGTAATTGGATATAATATTATGATAAACAATAAATATACAAAAAAATACAAAATGTTCTAATTACCTAACAACAATACCTACCTCTACCTATGTTTATTCTATGATAAAAAAACCAACCTCGCGAAATGTTTTTTATATTTGACATAGATACCTTTTAAAATATTCAGATAAAAATATCATTAAAATGTAATTGTGATATAATATTATGTAATATAATATTAAATAAGCAAATATAATATACAAAATAAATGACAAATTTTGAAAATTGTTCTCGATATAATTTACCTATTTAACAATACAATCCACTATTACCTACTGATCATTCTACCTATGTTTATTCTATGATAAAAAAACCAACCTCGCGAACACAGAGTAGCGTACATGTTTTGTTTGAAAGAGCTGTTCTAGTACGTAAGTACATATTACTTCAATGAATTTACTACAAATTATTTTCTCAAAAATAATCTTGAAATTACAGACAGCAATGAGATGAGGCGATAATTAGATACAGCAGTTTTATCGCCTTTTTTATAAATAGGTTTTATCACGGCTAATTTTAGATTTTTTAGAATATGCAGTTTTATATTTTGCGTAACTTTTTCCCTCACTTTTTCTCCATTTTTTCTATTGCGGTTTTCTGTTCATCTAGATCTCTTTAAAATTTTCGAAGCTCGTACATAATTTCCTCACTTTCCGTATTATTTTATAAATTTTATTACAAAATTGAAGCGATTGTTATGGTTACTGCTAGCGCCCTCTTGAGTTCCTGTTCCGACTTGCTAAGATAACTAGCTTCTTGATATATGATAGTTAAAGTCACAGAGTACATTATATATACCTGGTTAAAGTAGATCGAAGATGGTTCGGACTTATATCTTTCCACAGATGTCGCTAGTGCTTTTGTGCGAATGTGTCACCCCTTTCTATTATTATATTATTGCTTACAGATGGACACTTTTTCAACTATTGTCCTATGAGAGATTGTTCTCCTTACCTCTACACTCCATAGTTAGAAGGTTTAGTTACCAGAAATAACGCAATCCCGAAAATTTTAATTACTAATCAACAAACCGACGAAAGGTCTATCAGCCGAAAATAATCATACTCGAAATTCAGAAGTGCAATTGTCTTCAATCGGCAATTTAATTTACGATTTAAAATTGTTGTTAATTTTTATTGTGATAATTAATTACCATAATTAAAACAATTTCATATCCATTTTCAATATTCGTAATATTGAAAATGGATTGAAATTGTTTTATTCATTAATAATTATATTGTTTCAGTTTTATCTTGATCAATAGCTTAAGAATAATCTTATCGGCTTACGGTACTTCGTACTATGATTATGGAGTGTAGAAATAAGGAGTACTAACTCCCATAGTAGAATAGTTGAAAAAGTGGCCATCTGTGAGCAGTAAATAGCAGTTCAAGAACTCTCCACAACAGCGCTGGAGTAGCTAATATGATGAAATGAACTTAGCAGTTGTCGACGGTTTGAAGTGTGCTGTTAAACTGCTCAGTAGCTCTAAAATCTAAAATAATTTTATATAGTAAATATAACCTCGACAAAGTCGTCTATCCTACTAATATTTTCCGGCACGTTCTTGAAAATTTAGCCCGTAGCTATTTTGGCACTACCGTTATTTAACGGTTTTCTATGGACACTTTTTAATACACAGTCTGTACTCCTTACTTCTACGCTCCATACTTCGTATTTCGTTACTATCACTTTTCTGAAATTTTGATTTTGACGGATGACAGAAGAACTGACGGATGATTCACCTGTTTGCATTTCGGCATAATATACTTTCATAGATGTATTCAGAAACGACGATAGTATACTGAAGGTGACTTCTATACGTGGTATAGTCATACTGCAGTTATATTAGTAGTATAGTTGTAGCATGAATGGGTCGGCTCGACGGGGGAAGCACCACGCTCTCACAGAATACCAGCGTGAAATAGTAGCTTGATGCTGCTGTGTTTCATATGGTGAGTGTAGAGAACCGGAGACCCTTTTTACTGGAAACGAGGCATTCCATCTTAGTCCTCACGGGTGACAACGCATCTGCATTTTGATTCGTAATCGAGGATAGATATAGATGTCTATGGGCCGCAGGAACTACTTACCATCAGGTGGACTGTGTGCTCGTTTGTCATCCTATCCTATAAAAAAGGTGACATATGGAACTACCATAAATAATTAACGCACCACAACATAATAAATAAAGCTAAAGATAAAACTAAAGCAGAAAAAGTGTTTCATATATTCATGTAATCGCCTGTCACTCCTATAAAGGGAGGCAGCCCCGGATCTAGGGGGGGCAAACCGGGGCACCCGCCCCGGGCGTCAGTTTCAGGGGGTGCTATAATTATAATATGATTGGAAAAAATAGTTTTATTTGCTTCATAAAGCGCCTAGTATCCAGCGCACGTTGTTCTGCCAATTATTCACTTGATTTTAAAACACCCAGATGGTTTTTGAACACATCCTAAGGGTTTATTCCGACATGCGTTCCCAGCAGCTGTAGTGCAGTTGATTGTTCGCAACATCTAATGGCGTGAATTTGGATTTAAGCAATTTATTCTAATTCTATAAAGAATTACTGTTAACAATTATTTAAAAATTAATTTTATACTTATTTTCTTATTTATTAGAATTATCATAAAATTATAACAATTAGTAATTGTTGTAATGGATTTCCGCAAAGTAACGCCTGATTCTATCAATTATCACAAAATTAATAAATTATTTAAATTCAAATGAAGTGGCTTCACGATGGAGGCTCCTCCTTAAGCTCCATTCATACTTTTGATACGATTCCGGGTATTCCGAATAACTCTTGTATATTGGACTTTGGAGTTAATTAGACTGAACAATAGATAGTAAACAGTCTTCGTCGTCGTTATTATTTCAGCCGGACGATGACGTTCAGCTAGCATCTAGTGAATTATTACAGTCAAATAGCAAAGACAAAATTATCGATGTAATTGATCCAGGTACATGCCCGGACCACAAAAAATTACAGATCAACAAAGATCATTCTTCAGCAAACAAGCTATATTATTAAATGATGAACATCCAAATAACATAGAGTTTATGTCAATTGAACGTAACGGTCGGCCATTTGACCAAGGTTCGGAACAATGGTATCATAAGAAAAATATTAAAAGGTCCTGGCTTGTTTATTCGAAAACAAAAATGCACTTTACTGCACTGCCTGCAAGTTATTCGCCAGCACTTTTACATCAGCCTTTTGTAATGAGAGTCTTATTATTTGGTAAAAGACTTCGGAAAGATTAGCTGAGCATGAAGTATCACAAACGCAAAAAAATATTTTATCAAATGGAAAACTCGTCAACAGCAAATGAAATTGTGTCAGGGCACCGATTGCAAGATAGAGCGATTAA